CCTCCCTCTCTGGGGCCCCGCCTCTCTGTGCGCCTGCCTCTCTCTGTGCCTGCCTCTCTCTGTGCCTGCCTGCCTGCCTCTCTCTGTGCCTGCCTGTCTCCCTTTTTCCACCTGTATCTCTGTATCCATCTGTGTCACCCTGTCTTTGTCTCTCTGTCTCCCGTTGTCTGTGTCGCTTTCGGTCTGTCTGTCTGTCTATCTGCCTGCAGCACTGTCTTCCTCCGACACAGAGCCATGTGTCAGTCTGACGGTGGTGTTGGGGTGATGCTGCTGGAGCGAGTGGGTTTGCTGGAGCTGTGCTGTTCTGTGCAGTGCAGTGCACGCTGGTGACGCGCCTGTGTCCGCTCCCTCCCCAGGTCCAGCCGTGATGCCCCACCAGTACTACGGCGTGACTCCTTGGGGCGTTTACCCCGCCAACCTCTTCCAGCAGCAGGCGGCGGCAGCGGCTGCGGCCTCCAGCTCGGCCAATCAGCAGGCAGCCAGCCAGTCCCAGCAGAACCAGCAGCAGGTGCGGCCCCTTCCGGGCCCAGTCTCGTGGTGCGTCGCCGCTGGTTGTGGGTTCCTGGTGTGACTTGGGTCCCGTGTCCCCTACCAGGTGATGCGTGCAGGGGGGAACCAGCGCCCCCTCACCCCCAACCAGAGCCAGCAGGGCCAGCAGACGGACCAGCTTGTCGCCGCTGCTGCCGTGAACTCCGCCCTGGCCTTCGGACAGGGCCTGGCTGCAGGTGTGCCTGGTGGGTGACCTTTGACCTTGCCTATTCTAGCCTCTGTATGCATTATTGGGTGTTTTTCTGCAATGTTGTGAGATGCCATCTGTCTCCTAGGTTACCCAGTCCTGGCCCCTGCTGCCTACTATGACCAAACTGGTGCACTGGTGGTAAGCACTGGGACCCGGAGCGGCCCAGTTCGCCTCATGGCTCCTGCCTCCGTCATCATCAGCCCCACGGCCGCCCAAGCAGGTACCTCCCCCCACTGGCCTGCTCAACTTCTGTTCACGATGGCACCCTGCCATCCCCCCCCCCCCCCCCCCCCCACTGCGTCCCGCCCAGCATGGGGCTCTGAGTGCGGGGTGGAATGCCTGCTGTCAGGATGTCCCATCCATTACGTTACTGGGTCATGGGTGGGGAGGTGGGGCTGTTCTCTCAGTACCTGTAATGACACCAGTGCCTCCCCAGCCCCCAGTGTAGCAGTAGCTTTGCCCCCCCGCCCCCGGCAGCCCATCATTATTTGTTATTCTGCTGTGATGATCTTAATACTCTGTGGTTAATCTCACCCCCCCCTTCCCCCAGTGGCGGCAGCAGCAGCCTCTGCCAACGGTGCCAGCGGGGGCCTCCCTGGTGCAGCCGGGGGCCCCTTCCGGGCCCTGAGCTCCCAGCAGGCAGCGGCCCAGCAGCCTGGCAGTGCCCTTCCCTCCAGCTCGTTCTACGGCTCCGGCTCCCTGAACTCGGGCTCCCAGGGCAGCTCGCTCTTCTCCCAGGGCTCCGCAGGCCCCCCTGGGGGCACCTCGCTGGGCTTCGGCACCAACGGCGGCCCTGGGGGCCCCGGTGCTGGCGGCGGGGGGTCCTCCTCGCTGGGCGCCACGCTCGGTGCCACGCTGGGCGGATTCGGCACTGCAGGTGCGTTCCCCACCCCCCCGCAGGCGGCCGGCCAGCGCAGAGGTAGACCACCGCGTCCTGCCCGGCATGGGGCTCCGTATGCGTGTGTGTTTGGGGTCTCTTGCATGTTTTGTGTGAAGTCGCATGGGCATGGAGGCAGTTTTGGGGTCTGGAGCATGTGTTGTCATGGAGATATGGTGACTAGGGATAAAGTGACACTTGGGTGTTCATGTAACGCTGCAGTCCTTCAGTGTGCCTTCTCGCTCTCTGCTGCCCCCCAGTGGCCAGTTCCAGCGCAGGCGGTGGCTCACGGCGTGACTCGCTGACCAGCAGCACGGACCTGTACAAGCGCCCCCCCAGCAGCCTGGCCCCCATCGGCCATGGCTTCTATAACGGCCTGGGCTTCTCCTCCTCGCCCGGACCCGTGGGCATGCCTCTGCCCAACCAGGGCCCCGCCCACTCACTGACACCTCCCCCTTCGCTGTCCACCCATGGCTCCTCCTCCAGCCTCAACCTCGGTGAGTCGCCCGGTGACTAAGTTCACCGATACGTCAGATGGTAGCCTGACTTCCTCCAATATCCGTCCCTTGTGTGTTTCCGGGTATTTCCCCACCTCATGCTTGGCCCCTCCCCCTGCCAGGAGGCCTGACCAATGGCAGCGGGCGGTACATCTCGGCGGCGCCGGGGGCGGAGGCCAAGTACCGGAACACCAGCAGCGGTTCCAGCCTCTTCAGCCCCAGCAGCCAGCTCTTCCCGTCGTCACGGCTACGCTACGGCATGTCCGACGTGATGCCGTCCGGCCGCAGCCGGCTGCTGGAGGACTTCCGCAACAACCGCTACCCCAACCTGCAGCTGCGGGAGATCGCCGGCCACATCATGGAGTTCTCCCAGGACCAGCACGGCTCCAGGTGCCCCTATAAGACCACTTGGGGGCACTTTCCTCGCACACGTGTGTGTACCCACACACTCACTCAAGCTCCATCTCCCCAGGTTCATCCAGCTGAAGCTGGAGCGCGCCACGCCGGCGGAGAGGCAGCTGGTCTTCAGCGAGATCCTGCAAGCCGCTTACCAGCTCATGGTCGACGTCTTCGGCAACTACGTCATCCAGAAGTTCTTTGAGGTCCGTCCCAAACAGAACGTGTTGCACTTCGGTGCTTCTTAGCGTCGCAAAACTGGTGTGTGTGTGTGTGTGTGTGTGTGTGTGTGTGTGTGGAGGGGGAGGTGGGGATGTGACCCCCTGTCTGACGTGCTGTGTCTGCGGCCGGCAGTTTGGCAGCCTGGACCAGAAGCTGGCGCTGGCCGAGCGCATCCGAGGCCACGTTCTGTCGCTCGCGCTGCAGATGTATGGCTGCCGGGTCATCCAGAAGGCGCTGGAGTTCATCCCGTCTGAGCAGCAGGTCATCGTAAGTGTGCAGCCCGCCTGCAGGGGGCAGCAGGGCCGTCCCACGGTGCGGGGGATCTCCAAGGAGTGTGGCAGGGAGTGACACCTGGGGCGGGGTATGCATATTCGCAGAGTGAGATGGTGCGCGAGCTGGACGGACATGTGCTGAAGTGCGTCAAGGACCAGAATGGGAACCATGTTGTGCAGAAGTGCATCGAATGCGTGCAGCCGCATGCCTTGCAGTTCATCATTGACGCCTTCAAGGGCCAGGTGAGCAGGCTTTTGCAACGGTGCAGGTCTGCAGTAGATGTGTGCAGATCTGGGGACACTGCCTGACGCGGGACTCTGCCCCCCTTCCCCCCCCAGGTGTTTGCCCTCTCCACCCACCCATACGGCTGCCGGGTGATTCAGCGCATCTTGGAGCACTGTCTTCCCGAGCAGACGCTGTCCATCTTGGAGGAGCTGCATGCGCACACAGAGCAGCTGGTGCAGGTAAAGCCACCGGCAGTTTTACCGGCCAGCTCCAGCACCTCCTCATGCATGTACCAGTTTCATTCTTCCTCCCTGGCACCCCCGCAGGACCAGTACGGCAACTACGTCATCCAGCACGTGCTGGAACATGGACGCACCGAGGACAAGAGCAAGATCGTGGCCGAGATCCGTGGCAACGTGCTGGCACTCAGTCAGCACAAGTTTGCCAGGTATGACCGCCAGGGGGGGGGCAAATGGGGACCCTGGCAAATTCAGGAGACCTTGCCCTTTTTAGGGGCCCCAAATTGTACCGATGTGGGCCACGCTATACCTGCTAAAATGTCTCCTTTTGCCCAGCCTATTGCGTTTTGTCAGGAGGCCCAGATTTTCTACTTACACTCTTGATGACCTAATGACATCACATTGCTGCTAGGGTGGGGGCGGGTCCTCGTGTGTTTAGAGAAATGTGCAGATGAGATGGGTGATATGGGTTAATTAGTCTGGAAGTTTTCGTCTGAGCTTGACTGTGTCCTCCGCCTCCTCCCAGTAATGTGGTGGAGAAGTGTGTGACCCACGCTTCGCGGACGGAGCGCGCCCTGCTGGTGGACGAGGTGTGCAGCGTGAGCGATGGCCCCCACAGTGCCTTATACACCATGATGAAGGACCAGTACGCCAACTACGTGGTGCAGAAGATGATCGACGTGGCCGAGCCCACACAGCGCAAGATCGTCATGCACAAGGTAGCCTTTTGTGTGCATGCGTTTGTTCGTTCTTGCGTTCGTTCGGTTTGTTTGTTTGTTTGTTTGTAACGATGCCACCTGCTCTCCTGTGTGCAGATCCGGCCCCACATCGGCACTTTGAGGAAGTACACCTATGGCAAGCACATCCTGGCCAAGCTGGAGAAGTACTACATGAAGAACGGAGTGGACCTGGGCTCCATCTGCGGCCCCCCCAACGGCATCATGTAATGCCCCCAGTCTTTACTGGGGCCGCCTGCTGGTCACCTCTTCCTGTCCGCTTAGGCGGCTTCCTGTCAGCTCGCTCCTTTTACGAAACGCCTCGTAACTCTAGTCGATCATCTGTACTGCTTTTTTTAATAAAAAAAATGTGTGATGTTCATCTTCTGGGTGTATAGAATAGATGTACATAGATATAAGGCCTAACGGCGGCATGCTCAGTTTCCTTGGTGTTGCGTTTCCGCGCTTAGGGGGTAACTTCTTGGATTTTTGGACATCTTGATTTTTTTTTCCTTTTTTTTTTTTTCTACTGCCGTGACACAAGAATATTTTAAGTTTAAAAAGACCTAATTTTCATCTGAATTATCGTCCATAATCACGAGAACAGCTAAAATGCTAAGCTTTTGGCCCTCTTTTCCTTTTTTGGTAACATAAAGCAGACATTTTTGATTATTTAGCATGGGAGAACTTTCTGGTCTTGCTTATATAATTATATAGTGTATACTTGGTGTAGACTTTTGCATATATATAAATATATATATAAAACTTTGTAGTTTTCTGGTTTTTGATGTTCAATCTGTATCTATAATGTATCCTAGTAGTGAACACATATACTTCTGATTGTATAATTGTACATTTGTAAACCACCTGTAATGTAAATGTGGAAAATTGGAATTGCTTACACAACCCTTTTCGTATGAAGAAAAAGACAAAAAAAAAAATAGAAACCTCTGCATTTCAGTGTATATTCACCCTTTTTTTGGTTGTGGCATAGTTGTTGTATATTGTAAATTGTAATATCAAGTTTTGTTTTGAAAAACCCTTTCTATACAGCGTTATCACTTGTACAAAGAACAGAAATGCTCCATGGTTTTAACGTGTCACTACTTTATTTTGAACTAAATGCCCACAATTTACCCACGTTAGAAGAACGTTGAGTAGTGACCATTTTCTTTCTTTTTTTTTAAGATTTTTAAAGTGATGGTTTTTCCATTTCTTGGGGTTTAAAGAGGTTGTGTGATGCAGACAAGATAGCTTTGGTTCCACTGTAACCCACCTTAGGGGCTCAACCCATGTTTTGTACAAAGACCAGTATCTGCATTCTCGTGTCTCCTGTAAGTGATTGTAACATACTGTCTTTTTCCCCTTGATGAAATACAGACTATGCGGTGTACATTTCCGAAAGCCTTGTGTATATTTCCAATGAACTTTTTGCCAGCACACTTGTAACCATATGTGTATAGTAAACAAAATCCTGTGTTTGCTTATTTGCCTGGGCAACTATTTTTTGTAACTCTTGTTGTAGATTGTCTCTAAACGATGTGTGATCTTTATTTTGAAAGAAACAATCTCTTAAAATTTGATATTTGTCTGTGTGCTTGAGTGCTTGTGAGGCTTTCGGCCAATTTGTGTGTTCAGTGTTGCTGACGTTAGGAAATAGATTGTAGTTTAGCTGCATATTTGTAAACATTTGACTGATCCATCCAAATTCTGATGCTTTTGATCTGCGGTGTAGCTCCGCTGGCTTAATGGGGTTTGCATTCTCTCTGTAAACTTGCACTGAGATTCTGACTTGTGCCGCAGTTCAGCTGCTGTCTGTCCATCTCGCCCATCACTATCTTTTTTTTTTCGCGATGTTTATTGCAGTATTAGTGTGTTTTGGTCCATACGTCTTGCAGACTTGGGAATGCAGTGGAAAAAGCAAAAAGGCAAACAAATTTTCAGTTTGTTCCAAACTTAACCAAGTATAAGGGGCGTGCCTTTGGTAGAAACAGCAGGACGCTTAATAACTAGGCTAAACTGTACCTTTAACCTCCATTTTAATCACATCCTCATTGATCTCTTCTGGTAATCTGGAAGACACGCAATGTGTTATTGACTAATAGAAAACTTAAAACTCGTTAGAACAGATGGGCAGCTTTTGGTAGTGGGAGATGTTCTCGATAGAGGAAATCAAAATGCAGCAAATGGTATGGTGCTTTGTGCCCGGGTGCGAACTCTGAAGGTTAGGGTTTAAATCCCACAATAAAAGGCTGAGGTGTTTTGCATCCTTCCTGCCAATAAGGGCGGCCGTGTGGGACAACTGTTATATTGCCAGTCACAGATATTCTGGGCATAAACAACAGTTGTATAGTTACTGATAACTTTATTCCAAGGTCCCTGTTTTGGAAAGAGTGGATTGACTGATTTCTAAGCTGTGCATGTGGAGTTTATAAGAACAGTGATTGAAACATTGAAGCAGTGCTTTACAGTCTCTATTCCAAGAATTCCCTCTCTTTAGCTTTGGTCAGCAATGCACCTTTGACTCTCTGATAAGTAGGTGGGTGCTTGTACTCTGTGATTAATTAGTTTAGCTTTTGGTCTAAATTTTAAAAACATGTCACAAACCTGTACAATATATTACAGTGGAGTCCTACCTGTCGTCATGGAAACGAGTTCTAAGCACGCTGCCTGTCACTGCCTACTTGAGTATTTATGAAAGTAACAGCAGCAGTTATTGCTTGATTGCTTTGCTGATGTAACTGCTACTCGGGACCCTAAGTACTTTTAGTACTCATAAATACTGATATACATATTTGATTCTGACATAAATTTGGTCCTGCTTCCATTTATATGTGAGCAATGGGTCTTGAACTTAACCAGTGAACTGCGTGTGACCAGGGGTGTAGCTAGAAATACTGCCAAATCTTACACATAATTTTATGCACGCCCCCCCTTGGGACAATGTTGTGTATGTGCTCTGCACATTATGATAAAGAAGCCATTAGAGCCATTCAATTAGTATAGGCGAAGGACAGTGAAGTGAGCCCAGATTAATGATTCATCCAACACGTCTTGGTTCAAAGCTGCTTTTATTAATTGTAATTAATTTGATGTCTCTGGCCGCACATGGAGGCATTTGTTTTAGTTTTAGTTTCCAGCTGGAACCGGCCGAATGGGAATGACACAGATATCACAGGCACAGCTGTAAAAGGAATGTTGTATTAATTAAAATAAATACTTCTTCAACATACTCGATATCTTACGATGTCTGCAGGGGGCACCTTGTATCGATTGGTGTCTGTCTGGACGTTATTTGTAGTTCAAAAGCAGGTGTTACATTGATTTAATTATCGAAATGCGCTTCGGCACTCCGTTTACTGAATAGCAGCAAGTGTAAACATATTGTGACCGCAGTCTTAAAATCTGCAGCAGTTTAATTCACTGGCTACAAATTAGAGGTACCCGCCCCCCGCGCTTCAGCCAGTATACTCCATGAAGGTAGGATTCCTATCCGCCCGCATTCCCTGACCTTTACAGAGAAGCAGCATTCGGCTACTCGCCCCGCTTCTCTTTGCGCTGCGGCTCAGACTGTAGTATTCAGTCCTTGAGGCGCCGCTCGTAAAACCACCGACCGCGATGACTGAATAGCGGCCGAATTGGCGCCGATCTTTGCCGATGTCCTTCGAACGTCGTCGGAACAAACTGCGTGACTCACTCCCCCACTTCACATATGTGCGGTTATTATAAACGCCGCTTTGTGCGTCATGACACCACTGGCTCATGTGTTACGCACGTTCAATAGGGACATATCATGGTAGAATAATTTGCATATATTTGCTTATCTTAATTTAATTGATTTAAAAAATAAATATTTTTTTTCCTGGGTATAAAATATATTGTATAAAATAAGTTAACTACCCTATGCCCACAAATAGGCTGCTATGGTGAAAAAAACAGACTGTTGTCTCTCAATTGCCCAAAATGTGTGTGTGTGTGTGTGTGTGTGTGTGTGTGTGTGTGTGTGTGTGTGTGTG